ACCCTTATTATTTGGATCGTCCTGCAACTAAATGACTAATCCGTCATGCTTCATACTATTACTATTCGAAGCCATAAGTTATTAATCAGAACCTAATTAGTGAGGTACATGTCAGCCCATTATACTCCGAACTTTGTAAAAAACAAATATTCTCGTCTAGCTATTTTTTTCCTTTTTCTTTTTCTTTTCTGAGTATTTACTTTATTTATCTTTTTGTCCTTCCCCAGATGAGACATCATTTCTGAGTTACAAACCTTCATAAACAACCTGATAATTTTTTTTTATTATATAAATCCAATGGAACAGAAACGAAATTTGGAGAATTATTACAAAATAAAACCCAAAACACAAGCTCATGCAGTGAACCATCGATACACTTTTCTGATGGTCGGCATTCCAGATCCAGTGCATGCGACTTAATGCGTAGAAGATAGCCAGCTTCTCCAAATCTCCTGTAGAAACTCCGATTTCATCTGATGTCTGAGTAGAGGCTAGAAATCTCACCAAACTCACGATTGAACTCCTCCGATCCATCTAACCACCATGACCACACCTCAACGACCAACCGTGATCGCCTAAAGAAGAACCAGGGGAAGATATCTCTCTCCGTTATGAGAAAATAAATCTAAAAATAGGAAGTAAAATAAGAATTTCCGACACCAACAAACTCAGATCTAACATAGAAATTCAAATCGGAGCTAAAACATTTTCCGATTATAATCGAAAACCCAAAATCCGACCAAAGTCGGAAACCTTGATTTGCTAAATAGAAATATTATACAACAAAAGATCCGTTAAAATGGAAACCTAGATCTACAACAGGAGAAAAAAGAATATTTACAGTCCGGACCGGAAATAATCTAATAATTTAACGCACTTAAACTGCCAAATTAAATTCTAAAATGGTTCAGGTAGATCATTCCATAATATAATTTATTATGCCTAAATTTGGCAATCCACTGCGACCAGTTTACCGAACAATTTTTTTTTTCTTTTTTGAAACTTTTACCGAACAATTTTTTTTAACCAAATAGCCTATATATACTCACTCTCTGGTTAAAGTTGTGGTACTTTGGTGTTAACGAAAAGATCGTTTCAAACAAGAAAATATCTGTATCTAGAGTTCAATTATTGGATTTTTTTCATTTTGCTTCATAATACGTTATTATGATCTAAGAAAAAATATGTATTTTTATGACTTGTCGTGATAGAATTCACAACCTTTCTATCCTTTAATAACACTTCTTCATTTCTCTTTCTATGAAAAAGCTGAAGCGTACGTATGCCACTAAGAGCAGTTTCAATGAAGTTCTTTCTTGGGTATCTTAGCATTAAAAACCAAGTGTTAGTGGACTGGTTCCCACGGAATTACTATGTGAATTTAGGCAATGATTTAATTTTTTTCAAACCTGGAATTATCTAACCACTCCTATTTGGCCAGTCGAAGTAATGCCACATTTTCGGCCCATTAGAAAATCTGGTGAGTGGACTACTCGACGGCTACACTCATCTTGGAGGGATTAGTCGGATAGTAAAAATTCGGAT